TTAGTTGGAAAATTGTAATTGCATGCTATTATGTTTTTTGATCAGAATAAATGAGATCCAACTTCTAAATTACATATTTTGCCATTCCTGATACTATAGAGCCATTAATAAGTCACTGAACTACCATATATATTTTTGAAACTAACAATTATATATTGTAACAGGCCATAAATTCTTCAAGATATAGTATTTAGGAGTCATTTTTATGAACTGAGCCACTGTCCTTTTAGTATATTTAAATGCCTCTTTGAAGAGGATTATTAAATGTATTCAACTTGATTTCCCCATAAAAGTCGGTCTAGGTGGAAGTGAGTGCTCTTCAGAAAAGTAACGATCTGATTTTGAGAAGTGTTTGCTGTTTGTGTCTTTGAGGCCATTTGCGTGTCCTAATCCTTTATTTCCCCGTAGAGGGGTTTGAATCTTTCCTCAGGTTGAATATGTTCCTTCTGAGAATTATTTTCAGAGATGCCTGTCTCTCTGTAGGTGGGAGCATTTATCCCCGGTTTAAGTGAAAAATGCTTTCTGTTAGATGTTAAAAAGAAAACAAACTTTAAGTCAAATGCGTTTTGTTCCAGGCCGAGCTGTTCCAAAGCTGTTTTGCATACTAGATGTTTCTGAATTAGGAGTTCACATAATAACGAAATCTGCTTATTTGGGTTCTCCACAAAGGTTTGTTGTGTGAGCTTAAAATAAGACTGCAGCTCACCCGAGGCACACGTATTAACTGTTTATTTAGTGGAAGCACATGCCGGGAGCTCTCATTTCTGATCAGCCCGGACCATGCGTGTGCCATGCCTCAGCCATCTTCTTTTGTGCTTTATTAAATCTCTGTCAATTATAAATATCAAGGTTTTACATTAATGTCAAGATAGTGCATCAAAAATTCATGGAATATGTGACTTTTTCCAAGGGTATTTAATACTTAATGCATTCGTGTCATTTTTCTTCCCAGAGATATTGACAGGTTTTATTAAGTGTTTGTTAGGGAGATTTCATTTTTATCAAGGGACTATAAAGAGAAGCTGCATGCTAAATCAATTTTTTAAAGCCAGAATATTGTTCATTTTTTCATCTTCAAACTCTTGTAATCCATAGGTTTTATTTAAATTTCTTCTTGGTTTATTTTTGTTTTATGTGAGTGATCGTTCAAGACAGAACTTTAATAAGGATCAAATATGCTGACGGTGGTGGTTTTTAATTTCCTTAAGCATAGCTACCAGACCCAGGCAATATGGTAAATTCTTCAAAATGTCATACTTACATATTTAGCAATATTACTTCTTTTTATTGAAGCCAAACAAACGATTTTAGATATTAATCTTTCCCAAACACGGTGATTATTTTGTACTAGATACAATATTACTGAGTCTCATCTAGAATACCTCCTTTTGGCAGAAAAGGGAACGGAAGAACGCCTCACCGGGTTGCCTGTTGGCCACAAAGAAACAAGAATCCTCTTTGAAAAGTAAGCTCTTGAGGGCCTCCAGTCTGATCATGAGCTACAGCAACTCAAATATTTAGAGTGCTCGAGAAGGTGAAAATACCAATCATTAAAGAAATCTGCAGGAAATCTGCGGCTGGTTTCTGACTCTGACTTTTTGGGGGCTGGGGGTGGGCAGGCAGTCGGCACTTTGGCAGGACCCCCGGCTTGCCTCTGTTGGGCCCCTGTGCCCGGGAGACCCTGTCAGGGTCGCCTTCTGACCGACCCTGCCCGACAACCCTCCCCACCCATCCCAGGCGTATCTACCCAGGTTTGCCTCGGGAGCGAGTTACAGCTAAAACCGGCCACCAGGAGTAAGCTTTCTGTTTCGCTCTTTTATTTTTATAGTACAAGTTAGGAATGTCTTCTCTTGCAGCAGATACATCACGATAAACCAGACCGTTCTCTGATTTTGCTTTCCCTATGAGGTGAGGAGTGTTCAGTTATCCTTCCTTTAAAGTATGACCTTAGAGGCTTTTCATCTAAAAACGTTTTAAGGAACTTCGAAATAAATAATGTCGGGTTAACACTGTAATTTTTGAAGATGTATTCTTAGGCCCCAACTTGGTCTCCAACAGGAAAAAGACTTGGTGTTTACAGAAAGAAAAAAGAATTCTGTCCAGAGCTTCAGGAGTGTTTGGAATAGTTTCTTTTTCTTACTCTTGTTCATTTTTTTCAGGGTATGTGAAAATACTTCTTTTCAAACTTAAATGTTTTTCATGTGCAAATCATTTTCGATATTTGAATGTTTCAGGATCCTTGTAAAAATATTATACAGTACTTAAGAAGTAGACTAGGATTTTTTAGAAACCAGGTTTTGCTGGAGTCAGGCTGAAACAGTAGCTCTTCTAGATAAGCCCAGTGTGGATTTAGGGTAAGTTGCTGTGAAGGCCTTGCTTACCCAGGCAAAGAATCCCAAGAACCTGGCGGCCCCAACCTGTTCTACCATAAGGCCAGTAGGTGGCGATAGTGTCACAGTGGTGAGAGCCCTGTTGAAATGGAAGTTATTTTGCCTTTCTCCATAGTGTCAAATTAAATTTTGCTTCAGTATAACTGTTAAGTGCATGTGTTCTGTGGCAGAATAGCTTTTTATACCAGAAGTACGTACGGTCGGCACACCCTAATTTTTAAGAATATAAGAACAATTATTTCTAACAGAGTTCAACAAATGTTATGTAACCCTACAGCCAAAATAATCATCAAAATTAATCTGAAGAAAGCATTGTGTGTGTTGTGTGTGTGTGTGTGTGTGTGTGTGTGTGTGTGTGTGTGTGTGTGTGTTTTCCTGAGTTGTCTTTATGACTTCATCAGGACTATGAGCACGAACTTCTGTTTTCGGGAAGAAAGGTATGTAAATAGGAGGAAGGGAGACATTCTGGAGAGTTAATTTTCCGTCTGTCTGGTCCTTGCGGAGGATGTCTTGTTTGACTAAGGGTGCAGAATAGAAAGCCATTTCAGGGTCTCGGAGTGTTGGAAGGTTTTTGCTTCGAGTCGTTTTGACATTGAGCATTCCGTGTTTGAAAATTGTCCTCTTTTCTCTCATTCAGTAAGTCAGACTTTCTTGGGATGGCGGACCAAATTCTTAATACCTAGGGGATTTAGTGTTGGAATTTACCAGCTTTCTAAATACCATCCTGCATTGCACAGTGTAAATGAATTAAAATATTTTAAAATAACAAAAACAACAGTGCTTGCCACCTGCTTAGAGTTTGGAAAGCACTGGCTTGGGCACTGTCCTGCGCCCTTGGGGTAGATCCCCCCTGAGGTTTCCTTGTGTTGTAAGTGAACGGGAATCTCAGCCACGGAGTCCTCCCCGCTGGGGTGCTTCTTACGCGGACACCGGCTTGGGTTTTGTGGAGGGACAGTTCTCTGCTCAGTTTGTCCTTTTATAAGGAGAAACCTGAGCGGTGTCGGTGTCGTAGTTAAGTTTCATCGTTGTAAATGGAAAGCATCTTCAGGACTCTTACAACGTAGCCTTGCACTCCATTCATTACAAAGGAGAGGGAGGAAGAAGCTTCCTTCCCTGGGATTCGCGCATCTTTCTTCACTGGAGTTGACCGCGGCCTTGCCTCGGGGGTTTTTTGTTTTTTGTTTTTTTTTTTAACAGAGATAGGAAATCCCGATCTGCCTCCAGCAGCTAGAAGATTCCTCTGGGCAACGTGTGCTCTTATACACTGACTTAAAATTCGTCATCTTTAATTTCACTTTTGTTACTGCAACGTTTCAAGATGACACGAGTGTAATTTCCTATTTTGACTTTTCTTCCAAAGGGTTAACCGCGGGCTAAGAACGCGAGGGGAAGGCAGGCACCTGGGAGCTAACGCCCAGTTGGCAGCCTTTTGTAATATATAATTTGCCTAAAATTGCGCACGGAGCACAAGCTTTTGTTTTCTAATTGATTTACGGTTCGAGCCACTTCTGCCTCATCCCTTACTGTCCTGCGCGCGGTGCCAGCGAGTACATTACAGTGAGCGATGATAAATGGCCGTGCACTCGCCATGCTAATGCGTCGAGAGTAAAAACCGCATGCTGCACGGAGCTCCGCGCATTAACAGTGCTGCAGAGACCCGCCAGCAGCGCCTCCCTGCTCCCCGACCGGAGATCGCCGCGCGCTCCCTCGGTCACTGAACTGCAGGCCGCCTCTCGGGCTGTTACTGAAACCGGAGATTAAAATGATCCCGTCGCAGCTTTTCATTTGTTAATGGAGACAAAGTTGCTGAGCCCTCTCGGGGTCCAAGGCGGGGTCGTTGGGATGAGGAATCAGGAGATGCATAAAACGTCCTCCTGAGCGTCAAGTGGTGGATGTTTTCACCAAATGTTCATCTGACCAGGAAAAAAAAAAAAAAAAAAAAAAAAAAAAGTCAGATTTCAGTAGGCCAGCCTCTCTTTTATCTTTGTCCTGTTTGTAAAATTTAGAACCGCACAAAACTACCTTTCTTGATTTTTCTGCACTTGAGCCGCACTTACCACGTATATGATTCATTTGCACATAAGTTGATTTCCATCCAAATGATTTAAGTCGGAGACAAATGAAAGAACCGTCCATTTATTAGAGTGCCTTTAATTGTTCTTTTTCTCCACATAAGAAGAGATTTGCTGCACTCAGGGGTGTGCAGCGTGTCACGGGGAGAAGAAAACGAGGAAAGCCAGGACAGACGCCTAACTCTGGAGGCCCCCGGTGTCCCTTTGGATCAGACACTCCATGCGTGGGGGCGCCTACCTTCCTCTCTGTAAAGTCGGTCCACCTTCAGTTTTATTTTTGCGTGGTGTCTGTGGGTTCTAGTATCGAAATATGAAGAAGCAGATTTATGGCGGCTGCTGGGCACAAGAAATTAAGTTGACAGTGATGTATGAGAGCATAATAGCATGATGATCCCTCAGTAGCGCGGCTGGACGCCTCCTGCTTCATTTGGCTCTTGTTAGGATCTGTTAGGCAGCTAAATAATGAAATTCTGCTGACTGATTTCTGTTTTCCCTTTTTCTCTTCTCACCTCTGCTTTCTGAAACTTCTAATTCCCAGACCCATCCTCATGCCAACAAACTGCCCTTGAAGGACGCTTTCACTTACGAGGACTACAGGTTGGTGGGGTGGGGTGTGTGCCTGTGTGTGTGTTTTGGGGTGTGGCGGGGGAATGGATGTGGGGGGGGG